ATTTCACATCATTCAGGTCCACTGGGTCAAAATTGTTAACATCACAAATACCATTGACATAAATATTAAACAACTGGGGACTTAAGTTGCAGCCTTGCTTCACACCTCTATTAGAATCAAAGTATGGGTGTAATTCCCCTATTCATTTTAATGCTATAGTGTGTATTTTTATAGATTGACTTAATCGAATTATAGAAGTTCCCCCCAATGCCTAAATGCAGAAGTTTATATAGTAAGCCCTCACGCCAAACCGAGTCAAAGGCTTTGGAGAAGTCAATAAAGCATGAAAATAAATAGTTTTCTGTTTTGTTTACGTTTGTTGTTTACATATTTTGTAATCAAGGATCTCAAAATATAAATGTTATCCGTTGTCCTATGATTTTTCTTAAAGCCAAACTGGTTATCTCTGTTTTAACCTGCTGTTTTATATCATGGTATAATGTTTGGATAAACAGCTGGAGATGGCAATGCCTCTATAATTATTGCAATCCGCTGGGTCTCCTGATTTAAAAATTGTTATTATTGTGTGACTTGGCCAGTCTAGGCGTTGCCACGTCACGGCCAGCAGCTCGTCAAGTGTGTATTTATTTTTTAATTATTTTCGAGAATTTCAAGAGCTCTTGGGTAGCATGCATTATTTTTTTTCTTTTTCGCTTAGAATATATTAGGGTGAAACCCGCCACCCTCCCTCAGGCGCATTCAGCATGTGGCGGGTGTAGATTTCCAGGCTTATTTTTCCCTTCATTACGTGGGTTTTTTTGCCTTGGTTTTTTCTACACCGCTTTTTGCGCCGGTTACAGGGCACTTGGTGTAGTTATTTGTACATTGTATTATTGTATTGTAAATAATGATCATTAATAAATGGCGATTAGCTCGTGGCAGCGTGACAACACTCTGAATATTCGGCTGTGCCTACTTTTTTGTTAACCACTGTTGTAAAAACAAAACGTGGTGATTCGTTCTGATTCCCATCTACAACTAATTCCCAATCTTAGTGGATAAACAATGGGCGAATGGCAGCTTATTGCGCTTCGGTACATTAATGTGTATTGTGTGCATGTTGACTGATACACGTGTAACTAGGACACGAAATGAGAGTATTTCAACACTCGCCTAAATATTCACACATTATATTGTTCTTCTACATGTTTCTATGGTGTGGTAGTTTATCACTTATTGTACGTGTAATATCATGTATTGCGTTTGAAAAAGACGAACATTGCTATAACTAGTAGTCACATACAAATACATGACCGCTTATTTATAGTGAAATAAAACCAAACTTTCCAACGCCGATATCGCGTCGTATATATACGGTCAAGTTTGATTGAATCAGTATGTGTATTGTGTGTGTGTGTGTGTGGGGGGGGGGGTATCACACAATAAACAATGTAACCTAATATTCCCAAAGTTTCCAACAGTCGTTATTCGTGTGTTTGTAAAACACGGGAATAAAGAAAATATTGCCATTACAGTGGCGATTTATTTTGACGTATTTGGCTATCATAGATAAGAAAACCTGTACACTAGTACTGGGTTTATATTTAAAATGAGGGTAATATCACGATTTGTTGCTTTTCCGATGGACGATGGTCTCAACCAATCACAGCATACGCATACATAAGCTGTTGTGTTATCAGGCCAGTGTGCGTTTTTTTTAGAAAAGGATCCGCTCACTTATCTTTAGACGCCGTTCGGATCGCATTCAAGCTTCAAACATACATTACAAATCTTCGGTTACATATTAACGTCCATTCGGTTGAAGGTGGCCGATTGACAGCCATTTTCATTCTTAAAATCAAGTATCAGAATCAAGTATTTCTGTCATTCTGTATCCGGATGTCGGCTGAGCATAAATGAATTTCGTTCACACTTGTCGCATACATTTGATATATTGCGACACCGATGCATTTTGTTTTTCCATGGAGCTAAAACAAGATTTTTAGCTCCATGGTTTTTCAGATCGGTTTCAAAATGCTCGACTGGCTGACATTTTGTTTTAACAAATGCTGTTCCAGATTCATATCTCTCATGTTCAAACTTGTTATATATCATGTCGCACGTATGCATTTGTATCTTTTTGACGATTTAAGATGACCAAATGGCGGTCATTTTAATGGTAAAAATCATCAAAATCAAACATTGATGCCATTCAAGAACAAGAGCTTGTTTGAGTAAAAATGATTTTTGTACACGATTGGTACGTTCAGTGTAAACTATTGGATCCATGCTGTTTTTCATATCGGATTTCAAGTTGATATGGCCAACTGGCGGACATTTTGTTTGAATGCATGCTGTTCCAAAGCAATATTAGTGACCTGCCTTGACTAATCACATTAAAATTATATAGATGCATCATACACCGTGTCACACATATCTACATTAATTTGTTTGACGGATTCAAGATGACCGAATGATCACCAATTAGCAATTAATGTTAACAATACATCAAAATCAAGCATTTCTGCAATTAATTGATTGATATCCGTTAATAGATGTTCAGCTTCATGTTTTTAATTTTATCTATATCCCAATGACATTGACTGTATTGTCAAAAGTAAGATAACAATCACAACGTCAGTTTTTAAGAATCGCAACTGTTCTACATTTTCAAAAAACTATACATTAAAATTTGTAAACACATAAGTGTGTCTTCCCATGACGCATTGCAATATGCCATGTAACATTAATACATGAAACACCCTCGAACATAATATGTAAAACAAGGGAGACGTACACAGTGAAGTTTATCCAACTAATTTATTCATCGATTTTATAGTTAATTACCCACCACCACAATATGCAAGTTTAAAGCAAGAACATGCTCATAAACATTTCATTATTTCAATAGTTGAGGCTAATCAGAACGGTGCATGTTGGGACATTCACCAACACATGAATCAGAAGACCCAGCAACACATTATATCATTCATAAATGACGTATAGTACACACTATTCAACTGTGAATAAACCACAGCAAAAATCTCATTTTTTGTATGAACAGAAACGCAAGTGTGTTTGATAATTTCCAAATTCAAAGTGCCCAGGTATTGATGTCATAATAGTTCAACATTTGCATAAATACGTGGACATAGATGATACAAATTGTAATAGGTGCCTGATTAAATATGGTAATATTATATTATTAATGTTGAGAATAATGCATAAGCTTTCCATGGCTTTCTGGAATCAACTCATGTAATAACATAAAACGAACGTAGAAGATGTTCTCGCAACACTTGCCAATTAATTTTAAGATTAACATACTACAATAATATGTTTAATTACACAATGTGCCTAATAACCACATAGCATTTGTCACATAATCTAAATTATTTCGAAACCACCATATCATTCCTGTGACTGATTAAGTATAACTAATTGGTTGAGATAATTAATCATTAACATACTTCTTAATATATATGTCAATTTTATTAAAACTACTAAAAATAGACTACACTCACTTTCCACACACCATTGCGTATTTACACGCAGTTATCATACATACGTACATACATACATGAACGTGAAGTCTAATATGTAGTACCATTCCGACTATATTTTACATTCGGTTCTAGGTAAATTCAGATTAAACATAATTCAATAACTACAACTATTCACATTTTTTCGGTATATACAAAAACATCCCAATGGTCCAAAAGTACAAATAATTCATTTATCCAAACTAGTTGTTTAATCATATTCCTCCAAATGGAATTAACCCTCCCCCGAAAACACAAAACAATAACTTGGCATATACTCCACCAGGAATATTATATTTACTTCACAAAGCAGACAGTAAAACATCACCCATCATATTGATGTGCACCTCTCTTAATTTCTTAATATGGAATATTTGCTACAAAAAGTAAATAAGTATTATCCCCATGTTTTTTTTATTTGTTTTTTGTTTTTACAAATAATGAAATAGCTCATACTGCCTAATGAAAATGTAAATGACTATTATACATTTCTTCCAATAAGAATATACCAATTTGACTACAGTAATTATGGGCAATATACATACATTGAACACAAATTTAAACATTTCTCGTATTTAGCAATATTATAAGTAAAATCCATGAATCACACACTCGTTACATTACAACATTAACATCATACATTCTTCTCTAGTAAACCCATGTGAAAATAACCGACAAACTAGAATCGTCAGCACTGTCTACGTCGTCTACAATACTATGGATTCAATATTGCATTATAAGTATTCAAAACTTCTCAGTACTATTCGTCGTCTGGGTCTGCAAAAAAACATAAGCGTTCCAGGTTGAAGATAGTTTCGAGCTGCTTTAAATGAATTAACACGATAGTCATATGTTGCTTACGGGACGTGTAATTTAATGAAAACTGACACTGTAGTAGTATACACTGATTGTACGTTTATAAGTACTTTTCTTAGATTTTATTTGTCTATCGTGTCCTTTTCAGCTGATAATTTATGTTATATTCATATGACAAATGGAAAACCAAGAATGCAATTAGTAAAGCTGTTATTACTACATTAGAAACAATATGTTATGCTCAAAAAGGTGTAAAATACCAAATGATTCAATGATAACGTTTCGCTATACGATCAAGCTGTATAACGCTTCAATACTCATCGGTATTGCTCGATTCATTAATTTTCTGTTTAACTGTGAACGTATCGGAACTCGACCCATAGTAGAAAAACGTGTACACGCGCATCGCAAGAAATTTGCATAATGACATACTACATTACTAATTAGGTAACTATGACTTTCATCTAAGACGGTACAATTTAAGTAGTTTATATTCTTGGCTGCCAAAATAACCTTGTATATCGTGTATGTGACAAGTACGAAAGTGAAATTATTGACAGGCTGTGCGTGAGATAAGTAATGCAGTTTTGCATCTACTTAGAATATTAGACTACAATGATCGTACTATTGAATATTGGGAAATAATATCAGTTTGGAAATGCACTTATTCAATGGCAATTGTTAGGTACGACATCACACTTTAATCAATGCACAAACACGTTTTTTAAGGCGGGAGCATTTTTTTTGATAGACGTGAAAGATATACTAAAAATGAGGAAGGTTATCCGAAACGTCCGAAAAGGTGGTTTCTTCAGATGAAAAATTGTTTTGGAAAACAGGAATGAAAAGTGCTATGAGCGTCTCGTTAAATGTTACTTACGTTCACAAGTTACGCCGTCTGGCTGTAATACGTGGTCTTCTACGCAATCACAATAGTGAGATCCGTCAGTGTTAACGCAAATCTCTTCACATCCACCATTTTCTACGTCACACTCATTTATATCTAAAATTTGAACAATTACAAATCTTTTAAAAAACAATTTAACGAAATCGATACATTGTGTGAGTAATGTGTGGAATTACATACAACTGGTAACTCAAGGCGCGCAGACAGTAATGACAGATCCATCCCCCAACAGCGTTACCTCGCTGTGACCTCTTAGTGATTTTATTGTGAATCAGAATAAAGTTTACAGCCTGAACAAAAAAACTGCAAAATTATGTGAACGCAGCAAAAATTATAAGTATTCTAGTCTGAATTGAACATGATTCACGTTACGCAATATTTAGTGACGTCATTGTAGCACACAATAATTATTAAATTCTAAATGTTTGTAACATTTCTATTGCTGCACGTCACAATTGCGTTATGTCAAGGTTATACAAGAAATGACAACTTGTTGGTTGCTAAATCTAGTTCCAAGGAATTTTTTTGGACGAATAGATTGCATAATACTGTACAAGATCAGAGGTGAAATGAACTACTAAATTGGGGCCACGGAGATAAACGTGTGATTTACTTTATGCAGATTACAAAGTTAACACATGAACTCTAAGGGAGGGGGGGGAGGCAAAACGCGACACGTTGAATTAGAAACCCGTTTTCGACTGATTGAACCCGAGATAATGAAACAATGTGTTATATAATAAAGTGGCAAGATACGACAGAATGCAGATAAAAATAACTTTCTCTGCTGTATGTTGATCAGAAACGAGTTTTCGTTTTAATATAGTACATGAAATAAATAAATGGCAGTTGTTCATTTTTATTCAAACACTTTTTTAAAAATGAATCGAAGTTAAACAGAAAATGAATAATTACTCGTATTGTTCAAACTTAGGATGGTGAAATTAAAATGCTCTCTTTATTATAACAAACTAAACCTTTTACTACAGTGTAATATAATTGACTACACGAAATAAAACAGACAATAATTGTCTTACCAATACAAAACCGTCCTAGATTTAAAGTGTAACCAGAGTCGCAGGAACAACTGTATGAACCAATACTGTTGGTGCATGTGTGGTCGCAAAAACCATTATTAATAGCGCATTCGTCAATATCTTAAACAAAAAAAAATCATTTCGTAAAGATAACATGCTTCATCAAATACAACGATTATACTTCTATAAAACAATATAACATCGTACCTCGTCATATTCGTCACAATATTGGGTATAGTAATTCGTACGGTATTCGCTGTATGCAAACAAACTAAGCCCATTGTTCCATTACACTGCGTCCACCGTGACGAGCAATGAAGCGTTTCAGTGATGTGACTAGTGCGAGGAACAATTCTATTTTGATAATTAACCAACCGAATTTTGACGTCATATAAATAATTTGTAGTTGGATGGCTCGCCTAACTGAGATTGAATACGAAACATAATTTTACCCGAGAATCACTTTTTCAAAGTTTTGCTTACCATCACAAGCATGTTGATCATTGTTTAGACTATATCCAGCACTGCAGTAACAAACATAAGAATGAAGCGTGTTCAGACAGACTTGGTCACAACCTCCATTATTCACGGCGCATTCTTCTCCATAGTCTAAAACATTTGATTATTATTATTAGTAGTAGTATTATCAGTAGTATTAATATTATTATTATTATGATATGTAACATGAAGATATTACGAGGATAGCTCAAAGTATGCACGAAGACAGTACAACTGAAGTATCGACTGTGACGCATACTTTGCAGTATCTTCTTAACAATCTTATTATTATACATCTTTTCCTTGCTTGCCAAGAGTTTATTCTTCCAGCGAAATGAGACATAGCGGTAAACAAAGAAAGTAGTATTGATAAATTAGCTGTATTTTTTTTATCCCCGGTTGTAAAAAAGACACGGTTTTTCATCCCCCGGTTGTAACACAGGAACACGGTTTTTTATCCCCGGTTGTAACTCAGGGACATGGTTTTTATCCCCGGTTGTAACACAGGAGCACGGTTTTTATCCCCGGTTGTAACACAGGAGCACGGTTTTTTATCCCTGGTTATAACACAGGAACACGTATTTTTATCCCCGGTTGAAACACAAAGACAAGTTTATTTTATTCTCCAGTTGTAACACAGAAACACAGTTTTTTTTTTATCCCCGGTTATAACACAGGAACACAGTTTTTTATCCCCGGTTGTAGCACAGGAACACGATTTTTTATCCCCGGTTGTAACACAGGAGCACGGTTTTTTATCCCCGGTTATAACACAGAAACATAGTTTTTATCCCCGGTTGTAACACAGAGACACAGTTTTTATCCCCGGTTATAACACAGAAACACAGTTTTTATCCCCGGTTGTAACACAGAAACACGGTTTTTTTATCCCCGGTTATAACACAGGAACACGGTTTTTTATCCCCGGTTGTAGCACAGGAACATGATTTTTTTATCTCCGGTTATAACACAGAAACATAGTTTTTATCCCCGGTTGTAACACAGAGACACAGTTTTTATCCCCGGTTATAACACAGAAACACAGTTTTTATCCCCGGTTGTAACACAGAAACACGGTTTTTTTATCCCCGGTTGTAACTCAGGGCCACGATTTTTATCCCCGGTTGTAACTCAGAAACACGTTTTTTTTTATCCCCGGTTGTAGGGACACGGTTTTTTTTATCCTTAGTTGTAACATGTTCAAATACACCGACAGCCCGCCAAAAAAAGCTTTTATCGACAGTCTTGCTTTACGTTGTAAATATTTCGAAGCTCTAACACAAGTGGAACACATTAAAAAGCGCTCAAACTACTATCAGGGGAAATCTTCTCTCTCGGGGTCCTCCACACTTGTCAGGGGGAA